AACTCGCTCTAATCCTGCTCACGTCCCAGGCCTCGTTAGCATGGGCCCAGGCGCGCCGGGGCCGTGTGCGCCGCGGAGATAAGGCGTTGCCGCGGGTCCGTTCGCCCTCGATAAGCGCCTCGGCCATTATGGGCCAAATGATTCATTTTAATTTGGCAATTTCACTGGAGGGAATGGGGACTGGTTGCGTGTAGCTGGGACGGGCTCCGGCTCCGGAATGCGCTGCGCGGCGAGTCGGGCGCGCTGTCTAGGACCCGCCGGGCCCAGCCCCATTTCTGATCCTGAGGCCTCTTGGGAAACACGGGCTTCCCCCACCACCTCAGTCCCTGCACGGCCTCCCAGGCACCTTTCTCCAGCGACTCCCATCCCAGCACCCTGTCCCTGCCTCGGAAGACCAGGACGCCAAAACCATCACTCCCAACCCTTCCCTGCAACTCCGTTTATTATTTCTCCAGTGTCCTATTCAGCCCTGACTCTTCTCTGCTCTAAAATGGAGCCGCTTGCCTGGAATGTCCCCTACTGGGCTTACGCCAGGGCGTGTATGGAGGCAGAACTGGTGTCAGTGGAGAGATTAAAATGTCCATTCTACTGTTTCAGGCGGAGCCCAGAGCCCAGGAACATCCCTCCTTCGCAATATTTTTAAACATTTTAATCTTGCTAAGCACTCTACAAATATTAACTCATTTAGTTTTCATAAACAATCCAAAGAGGGTGGGGACTATTACTATCCTCAATTTACAAACAAGAAAACCAAGGCACAGAGAATAAAAGAAAATTTCCCAGTGTTGCATATTCAGTGAGTGGTGGAGCGTGGGTTTGAAGCAAATTTAGCACCAAACCTTCTCTGGAGCCCAGCTGGTGAAAAGGGGCAGCTAGAGCCCAGGCTTGGAGCAGGAATCTGGGCTCAGCTCGTTAGAGGGAATGAAATCTGTTCTGGGGGGTAGAAATCTGGGTTCCGGGAGACATGGGCAACTGGAGCTTAGCCCATGGAAGGTGTCCGGGTTCGTTCTTTTATAGTGGAGTGGAATAGCACAGGTTCAAGTCTTACAGGTCACTTAGCCCTGAACCTCCGTTTCTTCATCTGTGAAATGGAAAAATAATACCTACCTCACCGAGTTGTGAGGATTAAATAAAATGATCTCTGAAAGGTGGTGGTGCTGAGGACAGGCATCTATGAAATCTCACCCATCCCAGAGCCTAGGATAACATATATACACTTGTATGGGGGGTTGGGCTAGTAATACAGAGAAAGAAATTAAAGCATGAAGAGATGTGGCTTGGCTAAAGCTTACAGTCCACAGCTCAATCCCCCAGGAGCAGGCTGCTTTGTCCTTCCAGATCCTCTGGTTTTGAGCTCCTTTTGGGACCTGAGAACTAGGGAAAAGCCCTTAGCCTGGTCACAGACTGAATCCCAGTCAAGGACTAAGCCCAGAGTGTGACTGCAGTGAGTCCTGTCTCCTCCTTGGCCATGGGGACAGCTCTCCGTGAAGATACAGTTAATTCAGTGCAGCCTGTCAGTCCCCGTGTTCCTCTGTGCTCTCTGGTGGAAATCAGGGTGCCATGGTATTATTGATTTTCTTATTTTGAGAGAGAGGGTGAGGGAGAGGGAGAGATAGAGAGAGAGAGAGAGGTGACAGCAAAATATTGATCCATCAGCCCCACAACCTGCACTACACCCAAGTTCAAAGCCCAGCTCTGCTACTCTTGAGCTGTGGCAGCATTGGGCAAGTCATTTCATGTCTCAGCCCCTGTAAAAAAGGGGCTGGCCATTCCCATATTAGAGAGCCCAGCCAGGGAATGCTTCCCTGAGAAATGATGCCTGGACTCAGACCTAAGAGTGGGATCTGAAGGGTGAGTGGAAGAGTGAGCATCAAGAGCCCTCCAGGTGGGTCAAGGGCTAAAGCAGAAGGGCTCAGGTTCATGAAAGGAACAGAAAATAGTCTGGTGGCTTGAACAAGCCTATGGACAATCCAAAGGATTTTCAGAGAAGCCTTTTGCTTATTTGGTTTGAGAGTAGGTGTAGGGTCCTATGAGGAGATTTGCATTTCTAGAATGTCTTTGACTGCAAGGTGGAGAAGAGGTGTGTGTGGGTGGGAAGGATGTGGAAAGACAGGTTCTGAGGCCAATGTCCTGGTCCAAGGTATGTGGACTGGGATGCTGGCAGAAGAGATGGCAAAAGGCAGATGAAGATGACATGTATTTAGGATACAAAACCGGGTTTGTAAGAATTTGGAGGGTGAGGAGGAAGGAGAAATCCAGGAACCCTCGGGGTTTTTGGTTCTCCTTCCCTTAGATCAGTGGTTCTCAACCTTCCTAATGCCGCGACCCTTTAACACAGTTCCTCATGTTGTGGTGACCCCCAACCATAAAATTATTTTTGTTGCTTCTTCATAACTGTAATTTTGCTACTGTTATGAATCATAATGTAAAT